ATTTTAAAGGCTATTGTTCACTTACATCTATTTTTATTGCCACAAAAAAATTTATTATAATTATAGGGCCCTATGAAATCCGTTTTATTTCCAAATGCAGTTTTTTTTTCCATTTTCATTTTTCTATACTCTGTTTTAATGGTTAAATTACATTTTATTAATCAAAAAGCCTGTCTAATTAATTGAGTTTTACAGTTTTATCTTTACCAAATTCTGTTTTCCATTATTTTCTGGATTCCATTTTAATGGTTCCATTCAATTTTAATAATCAAAAGCATCTCCAATTAATTGATTTTATTAAAAAAAAATATATATTTTTTTTTTTCAGAAATATACTCTACATTTACATTTTTCTCCTAAATAATTTCTGGTAAATACTCCTTTTAAAAGTGTTTTTTGATTATAATTGTATTATTAGTCGACCAGAACACGTGGATATGTTGTCATTCTTACACTATAATACTGAACTTTGATTTCAGTGAGATGGACACTTGCTTCTTGCACTCTGTTGCACTTTACTTTTGCTTTAAAAAAAGGATTTCATAGAAATTTGGATTTCATTTGGTTTAATAAAATATTCTTAAGAAAAATTGTTGATTTTTTTTGTGTGGGGGGAAAGTAATCGTTTAGATTAATCGATTAATCGATAAATGAGTCGATAGATTCATCGAAATAAAAATAGTCGTTAGTGACAGCCCTACATTAAAATTTTTAGGTTGTAGCAATTTTGTTGTGCGCTTTTGTCATTTTTATTAGTTTATTTTTGTCTATATAGTTTTCTTTTTTTTTATTTCAGTTTTAGTTGTAATTATTTTAGTACATTTAGATAAACTAACTGAAGATGTGAAATGGTGCCTTGGCAACTAGCCGAAATCTTTTATTTTATTTTTTATTTTATTTCGAGTAACAAAAATGGTTTTATTTCAGCTTTAGCAAACTATAATAACCTTGCCTAGAGCTACAGTAGGACCGTTTCTAACTGAAGCCTGTGTGTTTTAAAATTAGCAGGGAGGGCTGTCTGAATTGTGCACAGATGAGGTCCAGCTATTTTGTCATTTTTAAAACCCGAGTTTTAATACCTGACCCAGTCCTACTCTGACACAGCCTATTTTGAGAATGATTGCGTCAGAGTCGCTGTAGAAACAGCAGCAGTCGTTACACAGACAGGTCACGACCCTAGAATATCAAAAGCGTGACGTCAGCACCGTGTGTCCAGACAAGAGATATGCAAGCCAAAACATTTGATGAAAATGATCTGGTATTTAGTGATGTTTGTTAAGCCAGAACAAATTCATGAAATATTAAACTTTGATGCATACTTATAAGTAATCAGACTTCCAGTTTTTGTCTGACAAATAATAAAATGATCTGCATAAATTGCAAAAATGTAGTCTGAAGGTTGTCGGATGAAAGATTTGATGTCTGAAATTACAGAGATCTGTCATTTTTGTGTTAAAAACACTTTATCTCTAATAAATGTACTTATGAGGCACTTTGGACAAAGAAAAACATTTTATACACTTCATTGATCATCTTTGTCCAAAGTGCCATCAGGCTTTTGTGTTGTTTTTTAGCATGAAAGCTCATATGATTATGTTCACATTTGGCCATCTTGTGCTGCATGTGCAAAACAACACCTCATCTTCATAATACAATAATTCCAGTCGTTAATGAGATGTAATGTGTTGTTTTCTTGCTTATTTTGTCCTAGGCAATGTATGTAACCTCCTCTGAAAAGCATAATGCATCATATTAATGTACCATGGTCAAATTATATTTCAATTAATATACATTGTAAAAAGCACGGTTCAAGAAAACATATTTTCCAAATCGAAAATTAAATGTTTAGAGCTTCAAATGCTAAAATATATTATGAAAAGGAGCAAAAAAATAAATAACAATACATTGCCGATCTTAAAATGCATTTTCTTGGTAAATATGAAGTATAGTTTAAAAAAAATATTTCGGACATTGTTATATTATATTATAGTAAATAATATTTCAATATACACAAAATGATCAAATATATATATAAAATTGTACATTTTTAATGTATTTGAATTAAAATATATTAAATATTTCTAAATGTTCATTTGAAAGATTTGAAATAAAATATATTAAATATTCATATGTATATGTATTTATTTATTTATTTACACACACACTTTTAGTGGTTCTGACATTTATCTGTGTTTCTTTTGCAGTTATTTCAGTGGAAGACTGTATGTAACCACCTAGTAAAACATCATCATCATCCCCATGGGTTTCTCTATAGACCTTCATTGTTAATGTGGACAAAAGCAGGGGAGCGTCTAGATTCTGGATCAGAGCTTCAGTAGAGGTGGGCAGTGGTCGGAGGAGAACTTGCTGGGAATGCTGGGAGGAGACGGCTTTCCCGATGGAGAAGAGGAGAACTCTTCTCCAGGCTCCAGCAAGCGTTTGGGGCAGACGGACCAAGCTAACAGCGGGCAGGACCCTGGGACCACCGGATCAGGGTCCAGGTCCGGATCGGGTTCAGGTGAGGAGGAGGAAGCCGAGGAGCAGCGAGGAAGAACCAGCAGAGGGGAAAGCTCAGCGGGCTGTGAGGAGAGCGGAGGAGAGCAGACGCACGAGGACGTGGACATGAACAGCGGTTACGACTCCAGCAGCGGAAACGACAGTGTCAGGGGCTCACGACATCATCGTTCCTCGGCCAATTGCAGCCCTGGAGGCACCATAGGATCAGGAAGAACCAAGAGGTACAAGAATCAGAATTATAATGCTCATGCCGAAGGTTAGTGATTTGAACATACCCCTAACTGTGAGTAGTCAACTTTTGCAAGTCCATTTGAGTGTTTTCTTTCTTCCTGATTTAAAAGGTAGGAATCGGTTGCTTTGAAAGCTCAGTTCTAAATGAAACCAGCAATTTGCAACCACATGATTGTCATTTTGTGTGTAATATTAGACTTCTGGTTAAATCAAGTGCTCCTTCGTCTCTTTGTGTGTTTAGCTCAAAATCTGCCACTGGTTCCTCATCGTCCAGTTTTGAGTGCAGGTAAACTAACTCGCTTCAAATTTGCTCAGCAACTGAATTTTACAGTAACCTATTTACAATATTATAAAAATATAGTAAAATCCCTTCATTTGTCATATAATTTCTTAACCTATATAAGTTATTAGAATTATGGAAGCCCAATTCCGCAGCACATAAGAAAACAAAATCATGCTTTGCTAAACCAATAAGAATAAAAAAATTAATAAAAAGTCATAATTATGACCCAAGTTGAAATTATAATATAAAAAGTCGTTATTGAGATACCAAGTTAATTATGAGATAAATTGACAAAAAGTTGAAATTATGAGAAAAAGGAAGATAATTATTAGAAATTTTGCCCACATACCAAAATCATTACTAAATCATACTTCTGACATAAAAAGTCAAAATCATGAGATAAAATATCTATATAACATTGAGAATTACTTTTTTAATCAAGAGTCAAAAGTGACATCACTTATGAGAAAAGTTGAAAAATGTATAAAGAGTTGAAATTATGAGCTAAAAAGGCATGATTATGACATTAAAAGTCACAATTTTTAAAATAATTTCTACATACATATACCTATTAAAATTATGGAAGCCTATTTCCATCACACAACAAAATCATGCTTTGTTAAATCATAATTATGACTTTAAGTCGAATTTGACACAAGTTGATTCTTTTTGTTACAATTATGACATTTTATAAGTCATAATTATTAGATTGACAAAAAGTTGAAATTGATATAAAAAGTCTTAGCCAGGTAACTTTTTATTTCAGAATTATGACTTAGTATCTCATACTTTAAACTTTAGTCGTCATGTTGGTTATCCAACACATTTTCTTATGTGGCAGAAATTGGCTTCCATATATCATTAATTGAAATTAGGTTAAAGTTATAATGAACGTGAATTCTTAAACAAAAACAAGCGTGTGCATGTGCAGTGAGCAGACGGAGCACGGCCGTGAGCAGACGCACCGAGAGATGATGCAGACGGTGCAGGAGATGAAGAAACGGCTGCCGTCGGAGAAGAGAAGCCGCAGTAAAGCCAGTACGGTGGAGGCACTGAACCACGCACTGAACTGTGTCAAACAAGTACAAGGTACACATACACTGCTTTCCATGTTTTCATAGGTGTAATGGTTTTTATAACTGTACAAACTGTATTTTCTATCCCCTTAAACCTACACCTCACACAAAACTTTCAACATTTTTAGATTTTCAAAAAACTTACATACATTCTGTATGATTTATAAGCTTTTTTTCCTCATGGAGACCAAAAAAAATGTCCCCACAAGGTCAAAATGTATCCTTGTGGGGACATCAGGTCCTCATAATGGGCATACATACACTTACACACACACACACACACTCAAAGCATAAAGCCACTAGAGGGACTCCTGTTAGAAGGCAGCACACATTCAGGTCCACAGCAGAACGTCTGTGATTATGTAACAGCCTGTTAGCTGCGTCTGCAGGAAGGTCCTAACCGCTTGCTGCTAAATCTGTTCACGGTGTTTGTGCACGTAGTGCTTTCAGTCGTCAGCTCTTTCCCATGTTTATCGCTGCATCAAATACTTCTTACAGTATAACGCCTGTATTAAGATGAGCTTCTGCATGAGGTCATCATGTGCGTCATGTCGTTAAGTAATTGTGAAACTCAACACGCTGTATTTGCTGTTTTTTGGGGTATAGATTCTCGTAGTAGCAACAGAATCAAAACATCCAAACATGATGTTTTGAATATTTGGGCCATTTTAGTAAACTTTATAGTAAACAAAAAAAAGTCAAAGACCAAAAACTAAATATTTTATTATAAAATTATTATTAATTTATTATAAAAATGTGATTATGAGCTTCTAATAAAATTAAAATCAAATAAAAATCTAAACTTTTCCACACACACAAAAAAAATCTTTGTTTCATTATGTTTAGTTTACAATGTTGCCCTCATTGAACCACAGCAGATGTTCTGATGACACTATTGCTACAATATCAGTCACCAAAACACAGGAAACTTTCTACTGAATCATTCATACTTGAGATGTTTTTATCACTTATTTGTTGTCAGTAGCTCTTAATGTCTGAAATAATGTATGGTTGTTCAAACAGCAAGTTTTCTGATATGCCCGAAGAAAGTCCTATAGACTACAGTTATCACTTGGGAAAAGTTCTGCTAAAACACCACAGAGGGATTGTTTTAATGAGATAAATTGCCGTTTTAACAGTAGTGTAAGAAGCTTTCAGAATATTTGTCGTTTTATTGTATTTTTATTTTTTTTTGCCACAAATGTGCAGAAAGTTCATATTTTCGTTAGCGTTAGCGTTAGTTCTGGAAGGTCACGTGAGTCAAGCTTGCATCAGCTGATTCTCAGCTGATCACATCTACCTATAGGAATACGACACCTATCGCGGCATTCCTATATAAGCTCTATTCAGTATTATTCAGCAGCTTTTCAGCTTGCTCAGGAGCAAATTACTCTCCTCCATCCCTAGCTCCTCCTTTCGCCACAGTCAGGACTTGGCTTTCTGATATTCCTTGCTAATCAGACTCCTTTATCTTGAATAAAGTGTTACACTTAAATATCATTAAAGTAATGATATCTGTTCTGTTCTGTTAACCCTAGGGGGGTTATTATTGCTGCTCTCCCTGCTCATTTATGACAGGCTGCATGGATGGGCAGGGAGTTTTTTGCCCAGAACAGAACCATACAGCCAAACCAAACTTTATGCTAAGTATCTATCATTTTGACGATAGTGGTCCTGACAGAACTGTTGTTGTGTTGCTATAGGTTTGATGCAAGTTCTGCAAACTTGTGTTTTGTTTTGCACAATGTACTGCAATTTTGTCATAACTGAATGGCAGGATTGCAGAAAAAAGTTTTTGCATTGAGTTTATGTAGAAACAATAACTGTAGTGTAACATTTTGGTAATATTTTAAGGGATTTAATCATTATGCATTTTGTTTTATTAATTAAATCTATTTTAGTAGCATTAATTAAAGCTTCTTTAGTGCCTATGTTTGTTTATTTCTGTTTGCCTTCATTTGAAATAAATGTCAATAGTCAGTCTATGATGTAATGCTATGTGAAATTGGTGTTGTAATATCTGGCATGATCTCTTGTGAGCCACCTGCTCTGTTGTTTAAGCCAAACACTGATTAAACACTGATTAACTGGATTGTGGCTCATTTTTTACACTTCCTCTGACTCCCCCTGCAGCAAACAGCGAGTACTACAACTTACTAATGAGCAGCGGACTGGAGAAGAGACGAGAAGCTACTGTGTGCTCGCTGGAGGAGCTGGAGGGAATCACTTCAGAACACATGCTGAAAAACGCTGTATGTCCTGCTCCGTTTCCTCTGAAAGCCTTGATGCAAGTAGCCTGACACTACAGGCAAAACTGTGTTTTTTTTCATGCACTGGTCATTTTGAGGTTTTGGACTATTTGGCTTTCCATAACGTGTTGTTCAGACTAGTGGATAAAAAACATCCAAAATATACTTGTATCTATTTGCATCTGTAGATTTTAATTACAAGGCCTATATTTAAAGGTTATCAAAAGTCAGAAATCTCCTTTGCAGCAGCACCAAACTTTATGATTTTGTTTCTGTCTATATTCTGAATGTTCTTACACTGGGGTTTGTTCCAGAGTTATTATAGTTGGCTAAAAATAAAATTAAAACTAAAATCATAAAAAATAAATAAGTCACTACTTGAAAAAAATAAAATAAATGTAAAATAGAATATATATATATATATATTAGGAATGAAAAACGTTATTCGTCTTTGTCTCTCTGTAGCAGCGGTTCTGTATAAATGTGCCCAGGTCAAGTCTTTCTTCTGTCGAATCAGGTGAGTGCGTTTCACCTCATAAGATCATTATTTATGTCTTCATTTCTACTTCCTGTGGACTTTTAAATTGCAGTTCATTACTACTCATTCTAATCTGATATCTCATTTATGCATGTGCATGTATTAATATACATGCACATGCATAAATGAGTAGTAACTTTATACCGTACAGATTGTTTCAAAGCAGCTTCACAGTAATAAACAAGAAAATAGCAAAGTTAAACATACAATTTCAGCTGTAAAGCAGCTCTACAGAAGATGGTTTCATTATTCAGCTCAGTTTAGTTCAATGTTGATTCAGTTGAGCTCCATTATATTATGACACCAACTTATTTAATCTATAATGCAGCTCTTTAGAAGATAATAGCGTCATTATGCAATTCAATTTAGTTTAATTTTTGCTCTCTCTGTTGTCAGTGGAGTCAGACTGATAATATTTTTGAACGTTTTGTGTGTGTGTGTGTGTGTCTGTGTTCAGAGGAGGGAAAGATAGAGATGGAGAATTGCGTTATAGTCCGTTCCGGATCACTCCGTACCTGCTGAAGGTTCAGGGATCGAGAGCAGAGGAGGAGCCGTGCTGTCTGGCCCTGGCCGAACGCATCATCTCAGGATATGAGGGTACGAGCCGCGTGACCTTTCACCCCGCCACGTTCTGAAACAGTAGTATAGTACTTTGACACATGACCTCAATATGTTACCTGTTTGTCTTTTTTGCTTTTACTTTTGGCTGTCTGATCTAATGATCACTATTTTGGTTTGTTTGCTTGTTGCTTTGTCTCCAGCCCCTCGCATTCCCATGGACAAGCGCATTTTCAGCACGACTCACTCACCAGGCTGTGTCTTTTTAGAAGTGGATGACCGGTGAGTGATTTTCACCTTTAGTCACAAGAGCCAAGTAAAGGAATCAGCAGCTTGGACGAATGGTTATGTGTTCAAATAATACAATTATTATTATTATTGTTGTTGTGGTCGTTTGAAAATAATATGTTGTAAAGCTGAATACCACATTATTATGATTAGTAGTAGTAGTATTGCTATTTGAAAATATGTTGCACAGAGTAAAGCTGATCAGCATATTATTATTATTATTAAATATTATGTTGCACAGAGTATGGCTGAGCAGCATATTAGTAGTGCTAGTAGTAATATAAAATATGTTGCACATATGTTGAGTAAAGCTGAGAAGCATTAATAATAATGATGATAATAATAATATCATAAAATTATTACAGTGTTTGTTCAGTCAGCAGCTTCACATTAGGGTTTATTTTGCAGTAATGACCGGGTGTTACGGTGACCCTTATATGTGACCCTGCAGCACAAAACCAGTCTGAAGTCGCTGGGGTATATTTATAGCAATAGCCAAAAATACATTGTATGGGTCAAAATTACTTTTATGCCAAAAATCATTAGGATATTAGGTAACACTTTACTTGAAGGGGTGTGCATAAGACTGATATGACACCTTCATAATCATGACATGACACATGTCATGAATATGAAGGAGGTTTTATGCATGTTTATGACAACTGTCATTAAGTGTCATTCGCTCAGTTATGTCATTTTTAATGCAAATATGACATTATTTGACCTAACCCTAACCTAACCCTAACCATAGCCCATAACAAAGACATCTCAAACAATGTCATCTTTGCATTAAAAATTACATAACTGAGCGAATGACACTTAATGACAGTTGTCATAAACATGCATAAAAAATATCATGATTATGTAGGTGTCATGTCATGATTATGAAGGTGTCATGCCAGTCTTATGCACACCCCTTCAAGTAAAGTGTAACCAACAACACCAATAACATGGGCCTCATCCATTTGAAAATGGCAGCCATTCAGAGCGCTGATGGGTTTACTGCAGCATAATGAGCCTGAGTCCAACCCACAAACTTTTTTGCACCCTCAGATTCCAGATTTTCAAATAGTTGTATCTCGGCCAAATATTGTCCCATCACATATACACATTGTCCTATAACAAACCAAACATCAATGGAAAGCTTATTTATTCAGCTTTGAGATGGTGTATAAATCTCAATTTAAAAAAATTTACCCTTATGACTGGTTTTGTGGTCCAGGGTCACATATAACCACACGACTATGAAGTAGTTCTAGGTTTGTCACCCGCATTAGTTTAATATCATGATATTCTGTGCTTAAAATAAGTCTTTTTCATACAAATAACGACTTTGACTTTTTTCAACCATCATGTGTAATCAGTAGCATAAGACGAGCATTTTAGGGGCAAAGACTTGAAATAAATGCATTTTCTTGTAGTAAACTCATTACTGTGAAGTGATTCCTCATGTATTAGTTGTGTGTGTGTGTGTGTGTGTCCGCAGTGCGGTGCCTTTGCTCGGCTACCTCCCTCAGGATCTGATCGGTACCTCAGTTCTGACCTGCCTGCATCCAGACGACCGCCTGCTCATGCTGTCCATGCACCGCAAAAGTACGTCCGTTACAACTACACCGTAAAGTCTTTAGCAGTCTTGTTATAAAAAGGTGTTAATAAAATTTGTCATGATCCCTTCAGTTCTGAAGTATGCGGGCCAGCCTCCGTTTGAACACTCACCCATCCGGTTCCAGTGTCAGAACGGCGACTACGTCACCCTGGACTCCAGCTGGTCCAGCTTCATCAACCCCTGGAGCCGTAAGGTGGCCTTCATCATCGGAAGGCACAAAGTTCGCACGTAAGCGCCGGCTCGTGAGTGCGTCAGTTGTGTTGTGTATCCAAGCATCGACATTTGCTCATACAGAAACACTTGTTTGTTCTGTAGTGGACCTCTGAATGAGGACGTTTTTGCTGCACGGAGTAAAGCTGAGCAGTCAGTCATGTGTGACGTTAAAGAGCTGCAAGTCATGATCTACAAGCTCTTCTTACAGGTGAGAAATCACTAAATCTACTGAGGACAAGCTACATTAGCACACTTTTTGCAGGCCAATTGTTCAAAAGTGACAGTAAAGGCATTTATGATGTTACAAAGCATTCTAATAAATGCTCTTCTTTTGAACTTTCTATTCATCAAAGAATCCTGAAAAAAAGATCATGATTTCCACAAAAATATTAAGCAGCAAAAATCATGTGAGACCAAACACTGGAGTTATGGCTGATGAAGATTCAATACTCAAAATTCAGCTTTGCATCACAGGAATAAATTGCATTTTAAAATATGTTAAAATAGAAAACAGTTTTTTTAAACTACAATAATATTTCACAATTTTCCTGTTTTTTGCTGTATTTTTAATCAAATGAATGCAGCCTAAGAGACTACGACTACCTAAGATCTCTCTGACCCCAGACAAATGCTTTTGAATAGTTTAGCATGGATCACTTTGTGTGAGGAACAGACCCAAATTATATAAAAGCTGTTCAGATAAACTCATTAAAACCTAAAGACATTCGTTTTTGTACTGTCAAATCAGTTATAGGAAAGCACTCTTCAAAAAATAGGGCTTTTTAAAAAATGTCATGTGTATTGCCATCCTTTAATTAGAGCAAGATGACAGCAATCCAAAATATAAAAATAGTCAGTCCACAGTTATATATTGACCAGCAAATATCAATAGTTATTGACTGGTATTAGTTGCTTTATCTGCATCAGTAACTTCATATCAGGGTTATTATTGTTGTTAACTAAACCTTAAACTATTAAAAATTGAAATAAAGCTGAAAAATTATAAAATAAACTTTACCTTTTTAACAGAGAACTATAAAAAAAAAAAAAAAAGTTTGTTAATGGAAATAAAGCTGAAATAAAATTAAATATGAAAAAAATACAAATGACAAAAGAAATGCCAGAAATTAAGCAAAATTTAGAATTAAACAAAAAAAAAAACTATGATAGTATATAAATAATGCTAAAATAACACTGCTTCATATGTGGCTTTGCTACAGTTGCAAAGCACATTTGAGCTGCTTGTTTGCATTTGAATCGTATCTGTCTTTCACTCAGCCTGTTCATAATAATGGATCCAGTGGCTATGGCAGTCTGGGTAGTAATGGCTCTCACGAGCACTACATCAGTGTGGCGTCGTCCAGCGACAGTAACGGAAACCTCTGGGAGGATTCGCACAGAGAACCAGTACGACTGAAAGTACATGTAAAGTCACATATGATTGTTGGTTTGACTAGACCTAACGATGGATCTTTTGTCTTATAGATGACATTGCAGCAGTTTTGTGCTGATGTCAATAAAGTGAAGAACTGGGGCCAGCAGGCGTATCTGGACTCCCGGAGGAAGCTCACACCTTTAGGACCAGCCACTGCAGGTCTGGAATGTCTTTTCTACATCCGTCTTATCTCATGAATTGGTCAAGGTGTAATATATAACTGTATTTGTTTCCATCAGTGGCGGCAGCAGGCGTTTATCCTAATACCAGTCAGGGTTTGGGAATTAGAGATCATCTAAAGCAGTCTCTACAAGAAGCCCGGAAACAACCACACATCCCATCCTACCAGCAGATCAACTGTGTGGACAGCATCATCAGGTGAGGCTTACGGACACGGGATAATATTATAATATGTAATATAATATATAATATAATATGCAGTCCATAAAGTTAGATATTACATACGTTACATACATGCATACATACATATACATATATATATATATGAAGAGTTTGGTTCCAAAATGCTATAAATCCATTTTGGTTAATTTGAGTAAAAATGTGTTTTCTTTACCAAGAAAGTGGCAAAATGAAAACCACTATTTTCTGTTTCAAACTTTCACATAGCATCTTTAGGTTATAATAGCATTAAAAATTCAAATCCTGGGCCCGTATCTTAAGGCTAAAAGTAGCTCATAACTCGCTGATTTAGGAGAAAATCTTAAAAATAATGGGCGTGTCAGTCCTAAATTTAGTACTCAATAAATTTTTGTTCTAAGGGTATTTCACAAAGCGTTTTAGCTCTAAAATTAGCTCCTAAATCTGTGAAAGGTTAGGAGTAGTGAAGAGGACTCCTAAGTCACTAAGACCAAATCTGAACTATCCTAAAATGGTTGTTGCCAGCAATCTACCTCGGAATATAAACATTTTAGAAACATTTGACGATAATGAGCTTTTAAAAAGGTATCGGCTCTGGTTTGGAGGTTATCCCAACTCCTAATTTTTGATTATATCCTTAATATATAGCTGTTCTCGCGCCCAGTTTGGTTTTCTTTTATGTTTGCATGTCTTACTATCAGCCATGATTATTCTACACTGCTAATTAAAAGGCTGTTTATATGCATATTGCCAAAATTTTATTAGTCGCTTATTCGCAGAAAAAAAAATTCCACATGAAGTGGCGAAATCACGCAGTCCGTGACGGACAAATCGTTAACGGCTGGTCTATGTGGTAATATAGTAGGCCTACATCGGGCAGGATATCCATATGCTCTCCTAACATTCATCGAATGTATGTAGTAGTACATCATCATATGTATGTAGTAGTAACTTTACATGGCAGCTAAATCTAATGTTAGCCTAGAAAAAAGTGTGCAGTTCACGTGTTTGTGCGGAGTGTGGAAGCTGAACAGTAGCTCGCTTGGGCTACTGCAGGACAGATGGAGGCGCCGCTGTGATCATTTGCTCTTAAAATACTTCGTAATTTTTGGTCATATAGATAAGAGTAATGCATCTTTTGTATCTGTAAAGACTTTACGTTTATTCGTGTGCACTCAGGATAACAACGAAACGTTGCGCTTTTGTTAAAAAATGAAAGCAAACAAGATGCGCTTTCTGCCGTCTCGGTCTCTGTGAACTTGAGCGCGTTCACTTCGAAACTCTGTGTATGCTTGCCTTATTACAGACATGAAAAATATATCTATAGAGAGTGAAACTTTTAAAT